CTGTTGAGATGAACAGTTGTTGAGATGTTTGCATGTGAAGTAACAGGAAGTGATGTCAAAGGAGAACGTCTGCATATGAACAGAGCATTGCTATAATGACTAACAACAGACTGTAGAGAAGAATCTGATGTTTCTTTAGATTATTTTCAGTCTCTATCAGAGATGTGAAGAGTCAGAGTTTAAATAATACATCAATGAACAAAGACAGTTTACTTTTTTAAATAAAAGGAGCTCCCCTTTGATGTCACTTCCTGTTTCACTTGGGTTGAGTCAAGTTTAAAATAAAATATGCCAGTTATACTACAAAATGACTCAAATCATGTGTACTATGCCAGGTTTCTTAAATATAAAAGATGTTCTCTTTTTACTTTTTGTATTTGAAGGATTTGAATGTCACAAGCACTTTAAATTGTTAGACACCATGGTGGTCTTAGGTCTTTCTTTTGTCACCAGACAACTGACCTTATTATGAAATCAAATTTTTTTGTAGTTTTGTATCTTTAGTAATTAAAACAGTCTCAGAGAAGGCATCTCTTTCTGGCTAGAGGTCATGTGACAACGTTCCAGAGGATGAATATACAGTCATAATTTTTAAACACCATCATATTTAAAAATCGAGCTATACAACAATACCATCATACCACCCAAGCCTAGTGCCTTCACTGTCCACTCAACTGATGACATGAGCTCACCTTTCCTTAAACACCAGATTACAAGCACCAGGAGAAGCATCTCCAACAAAAAAAGCATTAAAGAGCTTCGACTGCTAGCTCCATCTAAATAATTTCATGACCAGAGGGCGACAATCATAACCACAAACATCAACAAGTATCGTTCATGTACTCATTTACTGAATGTGGTTAATTCTCTGTGCCGGACGTTGTATATTATTTTTCTTCTTTTACAACTCTAATGGTGCGTTCACACCGAACGCGATTTCAGCATCAGGAGCCTCAGGTTTACATGCAAAGTCTATGGTGGACGCGCTTTAAGCAACGTTGGGAAATGCTGCGGCGCCTCAAGCGCGATTAGAGCAGCGCGATTTGAACGATTTGAACGATCTGAGCGTTCGACGCGCTGAGGCGCAAATCGCTGAAGTTAGAAAATCTGAACTTTTGCAGCTCGTCGCGCCGCGTCAACCAATCAGAGAGACTCCAATGTGTGACGT